TGAACCCTGCTGAATTTCCTGAAAAAATGTAAACATGCCTAGGCTTACAATCAAGTCACAAAAAACAGCAGGCAGGAATCCATCTTTTGGGTTAGTAGTTTTCCAAAACTCAAGCAGGGTAGAACGGGCTCACACCTAGCGAATGGAATAGGATCTGGCCCTGTATATATAAGAGTATATTGGCCTTTGGCAAAGATGGCAGAAAGAGCAAGGCTACACATGTGACTCCATCCAAACTCCAGCTAGGATACTGCTATGTATACCACCCTATCTAGAAGGGCAGCTCCCTTTCTGTTGAAATATTTGTCCTGCCCTAAGCACAGTGCCAGCCCCCCAAGTTCCAAAGGATGTACCAGGGTATTGATCTGTGACAGCCTTTTCATGCTCCTATGTTAGTGAAGAATAGGGTAGTGTTCTGGCCACATCCTCCTGGCTTTCTGTGACATGCACTATAAGGGAGGTTGGTGCAGGGCTGTTATCTTTTCTGTGTAAGGGGTAGGGTACCTCCACAGTGCAAGGTTACTACTGCCTGCACACCACTAGAGCAGTGTTCTAGATGATCCAGCATTGGCAGAATCTGGCCCAGAATCTAAAAGCTTTATACAGACACACACACCCATAGTATTTGACCACCATCTGTGTACAGCTGGTTGAGCAACAGCAAAGCTTTCCCTCCATGTTTTCACGGAAATGCCTTTCAATACTTGTGGTCTTGGAGGAAGGGGAGGAGTAAGGAAGTGCCCAAGCAGCTCCAGGATGGTGGCAAACGTTGCTGTGGAGCAAAGGTGCTTGACCTCTGGCCTGCAGCCCAGTATCATCCAGCCCACTGGGGTCCCCACAGGTCCAGGAAGTGAGTGGTAGGGGAGCAGTGGCAGTGCTAATTGCCACTCTCCTGCTGCCAAATTTCTAGACCCACAAGGGAGCTCGGCAGGCCAGATAGCATAGCGCCCCGCCCCCCCGTGTGCTAGATTAGGCATGGGGGGCTGGATCCCAGCACATGGGGTTGGGCTAAGGCAGTGCAGGGCTCAGTCCAAGCAATGACCCTGCAAGGGATCCAGTACAGGAATTGGCTCCATACCAGTCATCTATTCATTCAGCCTGCAGGGCCAGACTCACCACTGCTCTGGAGAGTGTCTGCTCATCTTATTAGCCTAGAGTCTTTTTTTAATACTGCTATATTATTATTATTTCATAAACAGTAGGGCTGGAAGGGACCTCAGAAGATCATCAAGTCCAGCCCCCTGCCCAAAGGGCAGGAAGTCAGCTGGGGTCATAGGAACCCAGCAAGATAAGCATCCAATTTACTCCTGAAGGTGTTCAATGTAGGTGCTTGAACCACCTCTGATGGCAGGCTGTTCCAGACCTTGGGGGCTCAGACAGTAAAGAAATTCTTCCTTATGTCCAGCCTGAAACAGTCTGGCAGTAGTTTGTGACCGTTCGACCTCATCATCCCTTGGGGAGCTCTGGTGAACAAACATTCCCGCAGATCCTGCGGAACACCCCTGATAAATTTATAGGTGGCCATCAGATCACCCCTGAGCCCGCACTTTTCCAGGCTAAAGAGCCCCATGGCTCTCAGCCTGTCGTCGTAAGGTCTGTTTTCCCGACCTTTGATCATGTGTGTGGCTCTTCTCTGGACTCTCTCAAGCTTCTCCACATCCTTTTTGAATTGTGGAGCCCAAAACTGGACTCAGTACTCCAGCTGCAGCCTCACCAAGGCCAAGTACAAGGGGAGAATGACGTCCCCACATTTGTTTGAGAAGCATCTATGGATGCAAGCCAGTGTTTTGGTCGCTTTACTAGCCGCAGCTTCGCATGCAGGCTCATGTTCATCTTGTGGTCAATGATGACCCCCAAGTCTTTCTTCCATAGTGCTAGCCAACCGAGCTTATAAGGATGCTGCAGGATTTTCCTCCCAAGGTGGAGAACCTTGCATTTTTCAATGTAAAACACCATCAGGTTCTCATCCACCCATTTGCTGAGCCTGTCCAGATCAGCCTGGATCACCCTCCTACCTTCTGGTGCAGATGCTTTGCCCCAAAGTTTGGTGTCATCGGTGAACTTGGCCAGTCCACTTCTGACTCCAATGTCCACATCATTAATGAAGGAAGATGTTGAACAATATGGGTCCAAGGACAGAGCCTTGGGGGACCTCACAGGTCACAGGGCACCATGATGATTGACTTCTATCAGTTACTACCCTCTGGGTCTGAGCACAGAGCCAGTTCCCAGCCAGCAGATTGTGGTGGACCCAAGGCCACAATTGGCCAGTTTTGCCAAGAGGTGATCATGGGATACCAGATCAAAGGCTTTTTTGAAGTCAGGATATACAACATCAATCTCCTCTCCCTTGTCCAGGTGATAGGCCACCTGGTCGTAAAAGGAAATAAGATTGGTCAAGCAAGACCCACCTGTAACAAACCCATGCTGGCTATCCCTCAGGATGCTGCAATTGGCCAGTCTGTTAAGAATGGCCTCTTTGATAATCTTTTCTAAGACCTTCCCCAGAACAGAGATCAGGCTGATGGGCCTGTAGTCTGCCAGATCCACTTTCCCCCCCTTCTTGACGATAGGCACCACATTGGCCTTCTTTCAGTCTTCAGGCACTACACCAGAGTGCCAGGAGTTTTCAAAGATCCGTGCCAGAGGCTGGGCTACGATGCGTGCCAACTCCTTGAGCACCCTGGGGTGTAAGCTGTCAGGGCCAGCTGACTTGAAGGTGTCCAGCCTCTCCAGGTGCTCCTTCATGAGGTCTGTATTGATGGAGGGTAAGGAATCATCCTCACCCAGGTGTTCCTGTCCTGTAACGGGCAGGGGCGCCCCTTGGGACTGGTGAAAAAACTGATGCAAAGTACCCATTTGGCAAGTTGGCTTTTTCCTGGGCATCGGTTGTCAGATGTCCCATCTGGTTTAGCAGGCGTCCAGCGTTGCCCTTGCTTTTCCACTGGCTCCCCACATATCTGAAAAAGGACTTTTTATTGTCCTTGATACTTGTAGCTAGCTGGAGTTCCATCGCAGCCTTGGCTTTCCTGGCTTTCTCCCTGCAGGTCCAGACCAGCGCAGCATATTCCTTCTTGGAGGTGGATCCCATCTTCCATCCTTTGTAGATCTGTCTTTTTAGACGCAGGAAGTCCAGTAGTTCACTGCAAAGCCAAGGGGGCTGCTGTGCCCTTTTGCTGCCTTTCCTCTGAGACAGAATAGCCTTAGCTTGTGCATCTAGGATCGCTCCCTTGAGGAGCAACCACTCTTCCTGGACTCCCCTCCCCTTGGGGTCGTGGTCCCTTAGTGCCTCACCTACAAGCCTCCTGAGCTTGTCAAAGTCAGCTTTCCTGAAGTCAAGGACTTCTCTACTGCTGACTTGGCAACTTTACAGCAGATAGTGAAAGTGATCAGTTTGTGGTCACTGTCACCCAGCTTCCCTTTGATTGTTAGGTCACTGATTACGTCGTCCCCCATAGCCAGTACCAGGTGGAGCAGCGCTTTACCTCTCCTCGGCCTGTCATCTTCTTGTGTCAAGTAGAGCTCATCCATGCACAAGAGAAAGCTTTGTGACCACTCTGATTTGGCCAAGTGCTCTTCCCACAAGATGTCACGGTAGCTGAAGTCTCCCATGACAACCATGCACCAGGAGCGTGCAGCTTCAGCCAATTCCCTATTGAAACTTGGCAGGCTTCATGCTCTCAGCAGAGGCTAGTTTCATCCAAATCAGACAGAAAACAACCAAGTTATAGATATTTAATTGATTCCCCATTATACCCTATGCCTGGATCTTTGGTTTCCTGCTTCAATGCCTCAATCTGGATTGCTGGCATCCGAAGCGGCTGGATCCAAAGCCAGATCAAATAGCTGCCTACTCACCCAGGCTTAATATACAGTATATATATTTTACTATATTCACAGTGGCAGACTGACAGCGGGGCAGGGAGGGTGCCATGGCCCCTGGGCGCTGGCCAGGCCCTTCAGAGTTCTCATCACATGACGTGACTAAGTACTGCTATGAGGAGGATTGGGGGGAGAAAGAGAGGTGCAAATGCAAGCATTGGCCCCCTCATGCCAGAGACCCACAGTACATCACTGTATATTCATGATGCTTTTAAGCAGGCTCCTAGTTATATAGTATGTTGTCTACCTTGTGTTTTTCTTCATTGTTAATCAGTTGCTTGGTATATTCCAAACTTAGTAGAAATGGATAACCTCTTGTCACAGAGGAAGGTAATTCATTCAAATTGGAACTTTCTGATAATCAATAATGAACAGTTTGATTAACAGGATTTTCCTGTCAATGACTTCTTGGACTCTGTCTTGATTTATACAACTAAATGAATGCTTTGAAGATGCTGAACTAAGGGTATAAGAATGAAGTGAAAACACCTAACAGCACGTGCTTCAAGAGTGAGAAATCTCTCTGACATCAGTTGCTGCTGCGCCCCAGCCATCTCAAGATGCTGGAAGAAACAGACCATCTCTCTTGTTGCCTGTTTGGTGAGAAGTCATTGCCTTATAGCTAATTCCTGGACTTTGCTTTAGTTTGGGCCCATTTGATTTTGAATACTTGTAGTAAATAAAAGCCTTTCTGTCACTCATTGAATGAAGAAGTGTCATGCCAATCCCTAGGCTAGTCCAGAATCCTAGGTTATTAGCTAACACATGCTGTGCCCAATTCAAGGAGCAAATTCTTCCTCAAGATCCAATTAATTGGAGAGATAAAGATGACATGCAAACTCTAGAAAATTTAGTCTGGAGAAGAGAAGACTGAGCGGGGATTTAATAGCAGTCTTTAACTACCTGAAGTGTGGTTAAGAGGATGGAGCTAAACTAGTCTCTGTGGTGGCAGATAGAACAAGGAGCAATGATCTCAAGTTGCAGCAAGGGAAGTTTAGGTTAGATATTAACAAAAAAAACAAACAAACAAACAAAAAAAAACACCTCTCTCACCAGGAGGTTAGTAAAGCAGTGGAACAGGCTACCCAGACAGGTTGTGGTATCTCCATCCTTAAAAGTTAAGACCCATCTAGAAAAAGTCTTGGCTGAGATAATCTAGTTGGGAATGGTTCTGCTTTGAGCAGGGGGTTGGACTAGGTGACCTCCTGAGATTCCACCCCAACCCTAATTTTCTATGATTCTAAGCTTGCTGTACAGAACCTAACTCAGCTAAACCAACCACAGTATGTCATTTCTTCAAAAGACTAAAACTTGCTCGGCAAGTGAAGAAAAATAGTTGTAAGATAAGGAGGCCAGGACCACGTGGTGACTCCTGCTATAACATGTAGAAAAAAACCCCCAAAATTATAGACACAGTAAATAAACTAAGAACACAACCACCCTTGCCATTCTGAAGTACATAGTCAAGGCACCTAGAGAATGGACATCATCATGTGTTTCTGCATCCAAGTCCTTCTTCTCACTCAGATGCACATTCAAAGGACATTCCTTTTAGGGACAGGGAGTAGTCAATATTTTCCAGAAGGTAATTGCAGCAATTGTATTCCTCATTTTAAGCATAGAGTAAACCAATTTGGGCCATCACTGTGCTAATATCAACTGATGAGATTATGCCTTTCATTCAATACAGGCATCCCAATTCTGTGTTTGAAACAAATAACAGCAGTTTAGTCTCTTGGAAGCTTGTGTTTCTTGTTCCAGGTGATTTTACAGAAGATTCACTTAGTTGTCTTTAATACAACCTCTATCTTACAGGTAATTTGAAACCCAGCATCCCAATCTTTAAGCAGGCAACTTGACCTTCTCATACAGTTACTTTCTAAGTACAATTGAATCTTCAGAGTTTGTCTCAACATTTCTTCACTTTCAGCACATTCTCTCTCATCTCTGGTTTTCCTGAGTCTTAGAAAAAAAATCTCCTTAGCCTTAGTTTTTGGTTGTACTCAGGCTGTGAGACAAGTGATAATAGGCTTCTTAGTGCCAGCTGAAGAAACTGCTGGACAGCATATACACCATCAGGAGTAAAATCCAGCCTTCTATCAACTTCAAACCAATATATCACCTTGAGTAACTCAGTATTCCTGTGTCTAGACATGCAGCTGTCCATGTCCATGCATGTAGTTAGCCACCTAGTGTACTTGTATGACCGACCTAACAAAAGTGGTGAACAATATGCCTGTCTAGATCATTGTAACAGGACAAAGACAGCCCTGTTTCTTTGACGTTACTAAGTTTCAAGGGGTGGGGGGGAGAGTCAGGTCAAGGACAGGGAAAAGTTAGTTACTTAGTAAACACAGTTGGGAAGGGGATTGCACCCGGGGTGAATATTAACTGATTAGGAGCCAGCAGCTCTTTCAGTCCACAGCAAGGGGTTTTCCTTTGCCCCCTGGGGCACAGTATGGAGAGATTCAGCAGAGACGCCAGGAGCGGCAGACCCAGCACTGGAGCAGCGTGCTGATAAGACCTGCCAACTGGGTGTAGGTAACCACAGCGTGGGGTGATTTACTACACCCTCTCTCTTTGGGGAATTAACTTCTTATTCTTCCATCATTCCAAAGCATGGCAGGTGAGTCCCAAGGAGAGAGATTTTGTTATTCACCCCCACCCAGCCATGATCATCATCTGCCTGAATTCCTAACATTCTTCCTTTCTCTGGAGAAAGAATGTCCCTACATTTAAGAGTTTGAACTTTGTTGAACTTAAACATAGCCCCAAAACTAGGGAACTAATTTCCTTCTAACTTGATTTTAATAGTCACTCTCAGAGACCATAAAAGAAAAAAATTCAAATCCAGTGGACTGCACCAGATGCATTGACTCTAACCAGATCCCTATCTTGCAAATGAGCTCCACAGAGGTAGTGCTCATGACAGGACTGATGCTCAAAGCTAATTAAGATATTCTATTTGGCTCAATCATATATTATTAAAATAGGTTGAGATGAACATAAATCAAATTCAAAGCTTAAATGCAAAGGGACAATGTTAGATTGATGTCTCTCTATACTCCTGAGTTTGATTTCTCAATCTTAAAAGGAAAACAAGAAGTAGACTCATGCTTCAATTTGGCTGCTTTGCATTGCATAGACAAGATTTGAAAGCTCAGTCAATAAAACAACCCATTACTTTTTTCCTCCTTGTTCTTTTACATTACAAATTCAGTTCTTGTTCCACCATCCCTCTTTTTCAGAAAGATGATATAAACAAACAGTCTGGAATAAGATTATGTAGGTACTTAGACCATGGAAATGCAGCCTGATTACTTTCAGGGCAATTATTCTTTATTTGATTCTTCAAAATTGAGTTTCTTAATTAACATTTTAAAAAATAATAATTCAAATGCCTGACAAACAGGTGGGAAATTTTTTGTTAAGAGTATAACATGCTAACCCTTTCAGTGACAGCCTGCCCCCGCCTTACTTCTCTAGACCTACCACTGAAGCAGGGAAGGAAAACCCACAGGACTAGAATATCCATTATCCAGCATCTTGTCCTGCCCTTTATGCTAAAGGAAAGTAGGTGTGCAATCTGCCATTCAGATCTGGCAACATTTTACATTCACAAAGTATTACTGCAAACAAGTTTCTATAGGTCATGACAGATAATCAGGCTCCAGGGAAAAAAGCAGAGTTAAGTAAATATACAAAAAAAGTTGTACATCTTCCGCATACGCCAACTTTCCCCAAGTCAGCTTTGCCAGACCACCCTTGCAAGCAAAAAGAAATTAGCACTGTGCAATTTACTTTCATTCATATGTAAATATTTATGATAAAGAAAGCTCTAGCCACCTGGCTTTAAGGTCATCCTTGCTCCCCTTCTCTCCAAAAAAACATAGCTAAGGCTGTAAAGACTCCACCAGTTTCCAACTCTGAATTACTAGAGTAAAAATAAATGCTGACGGATTTATCAGCAAGAGTGGAAGACCTCCATTTAATACCTGTGTACTGAAAACTGCTACACAGACCAAATAGAGCAACTGAAAACATCTTCAGATTCAAGGATAGCCCAAGGTTTCCTAGCCAAATCACTCATTGTAGCCATCTGTTCAACCAACTCCGTTTTAAAAATATTTTGAATGATTTTTTTTTTTAAAGATGCCCTACCACCAACATATGCATTCCCAGTTTAGCACTAACATTTGTTAAGGTTGTTTGGTATTTTTGTAAAGAGGCAGATATCCAAGAAGTGCCATTGTTTATCTCCAGTAATACACAAGTCCAGTCCTGCCACGTTAAATTTCCTACATACTTCTTAGCTCTCCCATGATTTCCAGCTGCTTATTCTTTTAAGCAACACTCCATTTCATTCTTTTGCAAGAAAGCACAAGCATTTCAACAGTGGAAGTGAACTATGTGAGCACTGAATTACAGAAGCACCAGCAATGTGACCTTTGAGTTTTGTATTGTTGTTTTTAGTCTGCAACTGTGGAGTGTGACAATGGGCACATCCACACATGCATTAATGGATAATAATTATGGCACATTAAGTTTGGTACCTTTGGGCACTCCTACATGTCCTCTGGGGGTGGGGAGGGTAGTGCTTTAATTAGAGCAGCTCTGAGAGTCACTGTAATTAAAGAGCTGCTGCATCTCGTGTATCGGTGTCCCCACGTTTAAAAGTGGTGGCGGGGGCGCTTGAACTGAAGCTTGTCTAATGAGCTTTAGTTCAATTGCCCCTGCCACCATGTTTAAGCATGGGGATACTGATACATGAGATGCAGGAGACTGTTGGAGCACAGTAATTGCCATATACCAACAGACTCGATTAACTGAGTCTGCTGGTATATGGCAATTACTGCGCTCTAGCAGTAATTAGTTAATTAATCAAGTCTACTCCATTGCACTGGAATTCCAGGAAACCAAAGCAGTCTCTCCACTCTTGTATAGCTACCTTGTAACAACAGGTACTAATTTAATGCGCTGTAATTGGTGTTACAGGACAGTAGCACTGACACATCTTTTAGGTGACTGTCATGGGGCGGGGTGCCGGGGTGGCCATGATCCCCAGGGCGCCCCTACCATGCCAAGTCGCCCCCCTAGCACCCTTTTCTTGCCCACCACATTTCTGATGTTCTATAGTAGTATTAATGGGAGGCTGCCTTTCCTGGGGTCCCCTGGATGCGGTGCTGAGCTTGTCCTGCCCCCTTTGTTTTATGTGCAATGTTCTGGTGCGCTCTGCCTTATGGGCTATGCGTGCCTCCAACCTCCCCTTTAGCATGCCCCAAGCCTCGCAGATGTGCCGGACGTTCTCGTGTCTGTATGCTCGCCCCTTCCTGGGGTCTCTCAATATGCGCACCCCTTCTCTCCCTGGGGTCCCTCCGTATGCGTGCCCAATCTGTCCGCCCCCTCTCTGGGGCCTTCCTGCAATACTCGCCCCTCCTGGGCTTCTGTTCACACTCTCGCCTTTCTCTGGGCTTCTCAACCGCACACTCTATCCTCTTCAGGCTCCTCACTGCGCTCGGCCCTACTCCAGACTCTAATCATGCGCCTCACCCTTCTCCGGGCTCCTAGTTCTATCTGCATCCCTCTCTGGGCCTGTCCCACGCTTCTCGTGCCTGTTGCCCTTTTTTGGGCCTGTCCCACGCTTCTCGTGGCCGTTGCCCTCTCTGGGTCTGTCCCGGGCTTCTCACGCTCGGGGCTCAGGTGGCCCGTAGCCGTGCCTGGCCCCTTGACCCTTCTCGGGGTCCTTTGCCCTACTGGGCAAAATACCCCCCTCACGGGATGGGGTCTCAACCCCACACACCGCGCCTCTCCGGCGCTCTCCTGCCACACCAGCTGTGGCACCAATCATTGTGCCCTCGCTGGCACCGCTTGTTGTGCCCTTACTGGGCACCAGGAACCCCCAAGCTACTGGGGAGCTCCTGTGAGGCCTCCTCGCACCCCTACAGCCTCGCCCGGTCCTCCGGTGTAACATCAAACCCAACGATAAACATAAAGCCCTGAGCCCACCGGCTGCAACACAAAGTCTATGCCTACCTGGCTCTCCTGTAAAGTCACTCAATCAGGGTTCTCTCTACCCTTGCCATATTGCAGCCCTTTGAGTAGTCAGGCTGCTCCACTAGGCTCAGCTTGGCAGCAAAGCTCTTATTCCTCAGGCTGCTAGATGGTAACTGCCAGCTAGGCTTCGGCCTGGCTGTTTATATAGGCCAGGCCCTGCCCCTGGCAGTCAGCT